GGAAAGAGACAGAGTGGGATTAGGAATCCTATAAAAGTTAAAATCCTTGATTTCAACTCTGTCAAATCTGCACTGCAATTGGAGACTCAGATCGTTTCTGGTTCAACTGCACTGCAATAGGAGACTCACACATAGTTTCTGGTTCAACTGCCAAATACAAGCAATTAATGACTTGTCCTTCTTCTTCTTCTGGTTGTGGGCCATATCCTATATAATTCATCACTATAACAATTTGGATAAATAGTAATATTTATCTTTATCAAAATACGACATAACTTTTTCTATTTTTTTTAAATACTTTTGTACCGAAAGAAGAAAGAACTTTCATTATATAAGAGTTTGTGTTGAAAACATGATGTCTCTCTCTTTGGTTTATGTTTATCCTTCGAATAAATAAATCCTAAATCAAATGAGTTCAAAGTTAGCAACGTCACTGGTGACTGATGTACTACGCATAGAGTTATTGGGCATAAGTCCAAACAAGTGACGACGAAGGTGAAATACACATAAATGCAGTGAGACAAAAAATGTGGATTTCTCATTCTAGTTAGAGCCTACTTATTAATTACGCTCCCTGGTAAATATATATATATATTTTTTATTTTCAGTCCTTTTTTAGAATTTGTCATTTTTTTAATTGTTATTTTATTAAAATTAATAATTTATTATTTTTTTTCTCATTTTTACTCTTGATAATTAATGTATGTTTATTGAATAATGTGTCTATTTATTTTTAATGTTTACCTATTTTTTCTCTAACCACCTAGGTAAAGTTAATGTTGTATTTAAAAGGGAAATATGTTTCTAACAAAATACTATAAAAAAATAGAGGGTAGAATAGGAAAGTAAGCAATAAATATTTTTGAAAACTAAAATATCAATCATTTCCTTAAATCCCGTGCAAAACCTTAAACGACTATGAATAAAAAACGGAGGGAGTATATTTTTATCTCTCAAATTTAAAATTATTATTTTTAGTCTTTGTAATTTTTAAAAATCTTATTTTAGTCCTTATATTCAAATTTTATCAAGAAATTTATCAAACATTATTGCATAAAATCTACCTATTAGTATCCCTATCAATGAAAATATCACATTAAATCTGCTCGATATTACATAACTATCTTAATTAGTCACTTTTAAATATATTATTAGTAACCTAAGGGACTAAAATAAGATTATTAAAATTACATGGACTAAAAACAATAATTTTAAATTTGAGAGACAAAAAATAAATTTATCTTAAATTTAAAGAACTAAAAACATATTTAAACCTATTAATTATTATGTCATCTCAACTTTACCTGCATAAATGAGTTGTGATTTTAGTATTCTAAATACATATTATTTTTAAAGAGTTTTTCTTCTTAAGAAATTACTAAAATTGGCATAATAAATTTTGTGTTATATCACTTAAAAAACTTCTTACTAATAAAATATTTGTATTTATAAATTTATATTCATTTTCTAATTTGTATTTAAACCATTATTAAAATGCAGAAGAGAGGATATTAATTAATTATATTTACATGAATTGCATGAGGGCAATGGTGACATGTAGTGAGTAGAGCTTAGCATATAATTAAGGAGAAAGGACACAGAGCAAGATAGAGCAGAGCCGGCCAGCTTGACACACAAAATCTCTATATTTGATATTTCACTTCAGATCACCATTTCAACAGCACACAATTTCATCTCAACTGTCAACCATTTTTCTTTCTAAAATTTAAGTTTAATTACACTTTTCATTACTCATATATTATAATTTTACATTTTTTGACCATTTAATTTTTAAATTCCACATTTTATCACTAACTTTCAATATTTCACATTTTTTCTACTCTATTAATTAACCATTGATATAGTATAGTTTCATATTGACTATCAATATAACATACGGACTACTAATATAAGTTACTGGTGTATTAATTAGTGGTATTATGTGTGATATTTGTGATTAATATATTATATTAATTGTTAACTCATTATCTAAACTTATAAAGTGATAAAATATATGAAGTTTAGAAAATTTGGTCACTGTAAATTTGAAAGTTAAGTAAAAAATTCGTAAAATCAGGAAATATGATTCACAAAAAGTATAATTAAATTTAAAAGAAAATGTTTTAAATATAATTTTATTCAATTTTACCTTTTTAAAAGGTTAAAATATTTTTTTGTCCCTGTAATTTCATTTATTTTCTTTTAGTCTCTATAATTTAAAATTAATATTTTTAGTCCTATACATATTTTTTAAGATTTTTTTTAATATGTATAGTTCAAGATAGATTTTTTTAATTTCTATACTTATAATTTTTTTTTATTTCTTTTACTCTTAATGTTAATTTTTTTTTTATTTTGTCCCTTTTGTATTGATTTGATAAAAATATTAATTCAAAATTTTTTGTTTGGCTTCAGGTTTATTTATTAAAGTTAGTCTAAATTAAATCTCTCAACACTTCATATCTTTTTATATTTTCACCTATGATAATCATTATTGAGACATTTTTTTTTAAGTCTCACAGGATTACCAATCCAAGATACACGATCACTTGACATGTTATGCGTCCCTTTAAAACATATGATAGTTTCATAAAAGAAATTAAAATTTATGAAGATTGAAAAATTGTTATATTATATTTACGATATTTTAGGCAATAAAATTACAATATAAAATTTTGGTAGCACATGACAGGATGTATAATAGCTTCTTATTGCAAGCTATTACAATCTATAGCTGGTGACAAAAAGCAAAGTGACAGTGGACCTACCAAAGTTGTTGATGAATAATAGAAGGCCGTGTTGCTTGTCTTCAAGAGGCTCATAATAACTTCACTGTTGTCTCTATTCTGGACTTTTACAGACGAGCCCAGGTGTCCAGGTCCAATAGCGTTTGGACATGTTATCATTATCAGACTCCCATCGTTATCGGGCCCAGTATTTGACCCATCTCGTCAACTCTGATCCACCATGCTCATCTTTATCTCATTCTTCTGCAGCAGCATTTTATTATATTATTAATATAAAATATTTGTTAATTCTATTAATAATGACTAATATTAATTAAAATTAATTGTTCATTTTTAATTACAAATTTTTATCGATTACGATGTTCAAATAAAATACTTTGTTTAAGATATTCGAGTTCAATTTTGTTTCTACCAACAGCAATGTTAGTCTCCTGCAGCACTTTTAAGAATAAAGTTGGGAAGATTAATTTTATTTCTAAAATTTACTTTGCACACGAATGTTTAACTACTGATTTAAAAATATTATGTATTGATTTGATTAAAAGTAACATATATTCTAGAAAAATAAGCAACATTAAATAAAATAAACATTGTATTCGAAATCGGATGAAATAGCAGAGTTAAAAATCCATGAATTCCAAACTAGTGTTGACTAAAGCCAAAATCCATTTGCAAGATACCAAAGATGTAATTACAAAAAATATCTTACAGCCATCTCTGGAAGTAAGATAGAAAAGATGTACTTACAAACAATATTACGCATCTCGAAGTAAGTTATCAGTGCAATAAGGCAATCTGGATAGGGTGAGCATTATTGGTTTTGCTAGGCCTTAGATCTTATGTATATTAAAAAAAATCCAACCCATATAAATAACTTTATTTTATTAGATAAATATTTAACACACATTATCATTTTAATAAAATCTTTACTATTTAAAAATCGAAATACATTTTACAAATATCCAATTATCCATTCATTCCACAATATCTTAGTTTTACTAGAGATCAATCAAATTCAAAAGTCTACATTCATGAGAACTTGTCTAAACCTCAAACACGCGACTCTACTCATCTTTAACAAATTAAACATCAGATGTTATGTCCTTATAGTGTCGTTCTCATCAAAGACAAAATCTAAGCTGTTGTTTTATTTTTTTACTATATTTTATTTTGAGGTTGTAATTCTCCACAATCCACACTCATACATGAGGATTTGCTCTGATAATGAGCATGATTGTCTATCTAGTGGGACTCTAATATTTCTTCATGAACAACATCAGTTTATTTTTTTCTTAAAGAGCAACATTAAAAATTATTTTGGAAAATATAATGCAAGTTTTGTTAATTTATATTTGATTAACAATATTTTTTTTTATAAAACTGTTCAATTTTATTCTTTAGTCAGTATCCTAAAATTATTTTTTAAATAAAAATTTAAATTAACACAACATACGACTCCATCCATCTTAAAATTATTTATTAACATTCTTTGCATAACGTTGAACAAGTTATTCAACACTTAAAAGCACATAATATTATTTATTTACACTAAAGATAAGTTATTGATCACATTTAAAGTAAAATAATTTCATGTAAATTTGCCTTAAAAAGCTACTAACATAAATGTAATATTTTTTTCTTACGTTAACCCGTGAAAGTGTCACATCATGACGTCAATTAAGTTTTTTTTATTTATTTATAAATTTTTGTATGAAATTAAATAAAAGTGTTGTTTTTTTTTTCCTAGACGAACGAGTGATAGAAAGTGTTCCGTTAGTTGAGGCTTTCCTTACTCTGATATCCAAGGGTGTTTTGGTCAAAATACATTCAGCATGACGTTAATTAGTATATAAGAATTGTCTAGAACTTGAATGCCAGAAGCAGCCTGACACAAACAAAGGAGGAGCGAAGAGAGATGATGGCAAGTGTCAGCAACATTGCTTTCCCTTCGCTAGTTGGAGTTCCTTTAGATACGCATGCACTTTCAAAGCAGATAAAGAATAAAGCTTCTTGCGGTTTTAGGCTTCATCGTAATCCTAACTACTCTGTCAGGTTGAGTCCAATCTGTTGTAAACTACCAGAAAGTGGGATTGAGGAGAACCCCACCACCACTAGCAAGAGACCCCCTAAGAGTAAGGACAGGATGGAGGAGTACAATATTGCTATGAAGAGAATGATGAGGAACCCTTATGAGTACCACCATGATCTGGGTCAGTTTCCATCTCTATTCTGTTATTGGTACCCCCACAACATTTGACATTTGCTACCTTGTACTTTTGTTTGCGCCAATGCCAATGCTACCTATGTTTGATGTCATTATGATAAATGTGAGGGATCTGTGAGGGAGATGAATCAATGATCTCGCAGATTGCTTTTTGTTAATCGTTGTTGCATTACTAGATGGTGCTAGATGTACCAATGATGGTGTGATTCTTTTTCTATATTTGCAATCTTCAATTATTATATTAGTGTGTTTCTTTTACCTTAAAATTGGAGAGGGTGTTACACCAAGAGAGACAGATGTTGAAGATTTACTATGCTCTCAATCACTTTTTGAAGAGGTTGAGATTCTGTGTGCCTCCTCCTCCAACTGTAAAATGCAAAGCCTATGCCATACGATTACTGTGTCAAGTTTAATTCTATTCAGTACAGAGTCTACATACTTTAGGTTTGCAATTGTTGCAAGTGGGCCTTGAAGAAGACCATTTTTTTCATATTAATTCTTAGAATTGAGTCAGGGTCTTATTCAACCTCAAAAGTTCTCTCTTGTATATTCTATTTTAGTTATATTACAACTAGATAACTTAGCGTGGAAATTTCAAGATTAGATATCTTTGGAATATCCAACAATGACCCAATAAATTGGTAGTCAGAGGCTTAATAATAATCACTAGAAAAGGTTTTGATACTATTTTAAAATTTGGATTTGAACCAAATTCGACTCCAAAAGTTAGCTCATGAGATGGGGGAATTGTCGTCGACTTATATAAGATTATTTTGGTCATATTATTTGTCAATTTGTGATCTCCGACATTAATTTTTCCTTGTGTGGTAAGACGTGATGTATCATTCTACTAATGCAACCAGTGATTCCTGATTTTCAGGTATGAATTACACTCTTGTAACGGACAACTTGATTGTGGGCTCCCAACCGCAGAAACCCAAAGACATAGATCACCTAAAAAAGGAAGAGGGTGTGGCATACATTCTAAACTTGCAACAGGATAAGGATGTTGAGTATTGGGGAATAGACTTGCAGTCTATAATAAGAAGGTGTCATGAACTTGAAATTAGCCACATGAGGAGACCGGTAAGCAAGCCTGTTTTCTGTAAATTTATTGAGGATAAAGAAAAAGCCTCTCACGCATTGTGAAAATCATTAAGTAGAGTTTTTAAGGAACTAAGGAGAGGAATACAGAAAATTTATTAAGGATAATGAAAAATGCTCTCTCGCTTTGTGATAATCTAGGCAACATTTGACTAGACAAATATCATCTGGAAGTAGAGTTTTTGAAGGAACTAAGGATATAGATAGTGAAAGTGGAGCACTCAGCACTCTAGACTTCTTTGCTTGGTTTGGCCCATTATGCAAATGGTGACATGGTTACATGAGTATTTATATTATGCGGGACACCTCTTGGTACATGCTATACAATGAGACATGACTCTTGAAGAATCTAAGTGTTTAAATCTATAGATGATTAGAAAAAATACTATGAACCTTAAATATTCATGAACTAAACAAATGAATTAAAATTATTAATATTTCCATTTGCCTTTTGCCAAATGCTGAGTTGACATGACTAGCTTAATCACTAACCCACCTCAAGGATCCATTTACTTTTAATGCAATTGGCTATATACCATGTCAGAAATGAAAAAATTATCTTGACTCTGACATTGTTCCAAGTTTTTCCTGGTTCTTAAATTAAATTATCATCACATTTTTTTTCCCTTTTATCTACATTGTTAGGCAAAAGACTTTGATCCAGACTCCTTGCGAAGTGAACTACCTAAAGCAGTCTCATCCTTAGAATGGGCAATTTCTGAGGGAAAAGGAAGAGTTTATGTACATTGTACAGCTGGACTCGGAAGA